CCAGTTTGGGTGAGGGGTCGGTAGTTCTGGTTTCTGGTCATTCTGGTCATTCCGCTGTTTAGGTCTCTGGGCTTCTATTATATAGGATGGGCTCTGTTTCCTGGAATTCCATGCAAAAACTGTCGCCCAGATGTTTAATATCTACTACTTAAAGAAGGGACAAGGTGGATAGTTTGCAGTTGAAACAAAATGTCACCTGTGACCTTATCTTGAAAAGCACCTGAGTCTGTGTGTGGTAGAACTCTCTGTTGCTCAGGCCTGGAAAACCGGCAGCTTCCTGGGCGTGACTACCCAATGGGTAGTGTCTGTCAGCAGGACCCGTGTGAAATGCGCTGAGGCCGTGTCATTACAAGAGGAAGAGCCCGCATCAGCTCCAGTTTCTGTAACTGGAGACTAAGGATACCTTGCTGTGTGTGCTGAGGAAGAGTGTGCAAGCAGGACCTCTGTGGTTCTGAAAATGTGGAAAAGCAAAAGGGAACGGGGAAGTTACAGGGTGCTGACTCCACGCTTGGAGGCCACAGGTTTGGGAAGTGACAGTGACTTAAGGATAAGTAAATCCAAGCTCTGTATAACTCATTAACTCAGCAGTTTAGACTCGAGTTGAAATGACATTTACCTAGTCCCATTGGTGGAGAAATTGTTATAAAGAAATGATTGGTGAATAAAATAGCCAAGGGTTGATTTAGCATTTAGTGTACATTTTATCACCCTAACAGGATCATACATTTTTTAGGGCAAAAATTGCCATACACTTTTCCCCTTAATGCTTTATTAATAACAAATGTTCAATAAATTCTTTTAAGTTACATAACACTGGAGGCATAATAAGTCAATTTAAGGGAATTAAGTTTCTGTTGCCACTTCAAAAGAAACATTTAAATGCAAACAATTAATATAATAATTATAGTTCCTTTTTATTTATCCCTAAATTGGTCCCTGAAACATTTGCCTACTAATGCTTGTTCAGTCTTATTACTCTGAAGTTATTTGAAAGCAATAAAATTGAATTGCTTTGAAAATGTTATGTAACTCAGACTTATATCTAATTCAGATGGTCTATACACTGATTCATCTAAATTAGTTATATTTTTACTGTACTCAGTTTAAACAGCACTTTGATTAGCTCTGGAGAATCACATAAGAATGACTATAGATGAAAATAAGTAAATGCACCGAAAGCTGTGATGAAACAGTTCCTCCCAGCTTCCCAAAGAGAAAGCTTACTTGGAGACAAATAAATGCAAAATGTGCTGCCTAGTGTTAGGAGTCATTTGAGTCATTGATTGTTTTTAAGATGCCTCCCCTGTTCGCATGTAATATTAGAAAACACGTCATGAGGACCCTGTCAATTGAGTGTTTCTGCTTGCTAGCGAGAAACTGACCCTTTTATTGCTTTGTTTTCCTCCTGGAGCTAATGTTATGATCAATGGATTGCTGGTGTCATTTAGATAAATCATTTGGAAAAAGTAGTTCTTAAATGTGAAAAAGCAAAAGGGAATGGGGAAGGTATAGGGTATTGAATCCAAGCTTTAAAAAGAACAAAAGAAAAGAAAAAGTAAAAGGCTGTAGAGAAATTGTTGAAGCCCATGCAGACCTTTCAAGTCTGTATGTTTCCTGAAGAGCAGTGTCATGACATCATGGCTGCAGTTGTCTAGAAGGATGCTAGTTTCCAACTCACATCCTCTGCCTTTCAAATGCATCCCAAACCCTGAGGAGAGGGTGGTGCCTGATAGAACAGAAAGCTCAGGGTCAGAGTCCTCCAACTTCAGTTAGTACACACTCCAAGTTAATGAAAGCACCCTGTAGCAGCTTCCCGCAGGAATTCATTAGCTGGCTGCTTCCAGCTCCCTCCTCACTGTGGTTGGATGCTGGCATTCCCCATGAGTTATGTCACCGACCATGTAGATATCTCATCAGTTTTATTGTAAGAATGTCACGGTGCCCTGGTGCAAACCTCCATGGAGTGTTGGCTCTACTAGTGGTGACCTATGGGACTCTGCAAAGCCACTCATCCTCCTGGTGCCTGGCTTTCCTGTCTTATAACAGGGGGACCATTGCTGCTTTTTAGGGAACTGTGCAGAAGAAGAGTGCTTAGCGACCGAGTGCATCTTGATGAGAATTCACAGACCACCAGTTGTGTCCAGTATTTAGGACAGAGGGCCCCGTAGCCACTGTGCTGGCTGTTAAACATCCTTTCATTTGTTTACATGACACTAGCTCTTTGAAACTATGGGTGAGCTAAATCGGTTTAGTTTGAATTGATCACAGAATTCTGCATCTATTCTTGATTTTCTGGATTTCCCCCAATTCTAGAGGATCCCAAGAGCACTAGGTTCATGGTGATGGTCTAACTCTTGAACATCTTCCCATTTCCTGTATCTCTTCTTGCTGTGCTCATGAGGAAAGACAAACTTTATCTTTTTCTGGTAACAGTCTTATTGAAATACTAGAGGCCTGATGCATGAAATTAGTGCAGGAGTAGGCCTTCCTTCCCCCAGCTGCTGGCACTGTCTTCCCTCTGGCACCCGGGACCTGGGCTTCCCTCGCAGCCCAGGCTTCATCCGGAAGGTCATCCGGAAGGACGTCCTGAAGGACGTCTGGTCTAATTAGCATATTATACTTTTATTATTATAGACTAGAGGCCCAGTGCACTACTGATGGGGTCCTTCAGCTGGGCCTGCAGGGATCAGGTCGAAACCAGCTCTCTGACATCCCCCAAGGGGTCCTGGATTGCGAGAGGGTGCAGGCCAGGTCGAGGGACCCCACCGGTATACGATCTGGGCCAGGGAGGGATGGTGGGAGGGCTCCAGGGCGTGTCCGACCTATTTCACCCAGTCCTGATTGGCCAGACCCCAGCAGCAAGGTAACCTACCAATTGGAGCATCTACCCTGTGGTGGTCAGTGTGTGTCTACCCTGTGGTGGTCAGTGTGTGTCATAGCGACTGGTCAAGTAGTCCAACTGTCAGACACTTAGCATATTAGGCTTTTATATAGATAGATAAGTGGCATACAGTTCACTTTAAAGTGTACAATTCAGTGTTTTCAGTATATTCAGAGTTGTGCAACCATCACCACAGTCAATTTTAGAACATTTTCATTATCCCAAAAAGAAACCTTTTAAGCAGCTCACCCCCACCCCCATTTCTTTCCTCCTCCACCCCCAGCCCTAAGAAACCACTAGGCTACAGTAAGTCCAGTTTCTGCAGCTTTAAGCAAAATGACATATAAGGAAACCAGTTTTACCTGAGGCTAGTTGATATACATGAATTAACTTCCTACCAGCATCTCACCAACATAATAACGAAATGATGTTGAACAAAACTATTGTTATTCAAGGGCTTGCTGTACCTTATATCTTCTATACATCTGATAACTCTGGGCATTTCATATAAGTGAAATCATATATATTTTACCTATTGTGTCTGGCTTCTTTTACTTAACATGTTGTTTTCAAGGTTCATCCATGTTGTAATATGGATCAGTACTTCATTCCTTTTATTGATGAATAACGTACCATTGTATGGCTATACCACATTTTATTGATCCATCAGTTGATGGGCATTTGAATTGTTTCTACTTTTTTACTATTGTGAATAATGCTGCTGTGAACATTTGTGTACAAGTTTTCTCGTGAACTTATGTTTGCAGTCCTCCTGGGATCATACGGTAACTGTATGTTTCATCTTTTGAGGAACTGCTAGACTGTCTTTCAAAGTGGTTGTACCATCTTACATTCCTACCAGCTGTGTATGAGGGCTCTGATTTTTTTCACCAACACTTGTTATTATCTTTGTTACTACCTTTATCATTTCACAAAGCTGTCCTCTCCTGGTTTGCTCATTGCTCCTCTTCCTATCCCTGCAGCTCTGGCAATGGTAATTAATGGCTGTCCACTGTTGCTAGCCTGGGTTCTGTAACATTCCTGTTGGTTTCCCTAAGTCCTGCCCTCACCTTGTACATAGTCCCCTTATTAAACCGTGATGATAGCCATCTGTTATGTGCTGGGACCCCGAGTGATGTGGGGAGGGATCAGTTACTTCTCATCACCATTGGACTGTGCTTTCTGTGTGAGCTAAAGACTGCTTGCTACAGAGTTGTATGTGAACAGCAGCTGTCTGTGTCATTACAGGCTTACATGAAACTTGGGGACTACCAGAAGGCACTAGTGGACTGTGACTGGGCTCTGAAGGTAAGAAGGTGTTTCCTTCTCCACAGGATGGAGTGGGGTTGGCTTGGGCCAGAGGCTTCAGTCCTAAAGTGAGTAGAGGGGACCTGCCAAAGTGTGGTGGTGCGCAAGGGTAGAGGTACTGCCGTCAGAGCCCCAGTTTCTTCGCCTAGAAAACAGCTAGAATAGAATTGTCTTGAGGGTTTGGACAATGTACATAAAGTACCTACTCTTAGAAAGTGCTCCAGAGAGGCTGCTGCTCATATTGGTTTCCCAGGGTTCAGTAGAGCGGGCATCCTCGGCTGTTGTGTCAGCAGACACGTTGCTTCCCTTGGTCATGCCTCCTCCTCTCTCTCCAGCCCGTGGGAGCTTGCTTCCGCAGCGCCATTCTTCCCCATCGCTCTGTGCTTTCCCCTCCAGCCTTAAGCATTTGGAAATGTATGCCAGCATCCCCTCTTTGCATCGGATTAACCAGAAGAAAGAATTCCTCTTGTTCAGCCTGGATGCTAGTCAGCCTCAGGCAGATAGTAGCATAATACTGTGCTTGGCATTTCCTCCAAAATCTGCCCAAATAGACAATTAAAGGTAGGGACTGTTGGGGAAAATATTAGAAGGGCTTTTAAAAGATAAATGTCATGATCATAGAGACATTATTTCCGATGACTACTAAATAGTTAAATAGCCCTTAATCCATATTCCCCTAAATTACTCTGTCATGGGGGCTTTAAACAACCAAGACCAGTGCTTCTCATACTTCCTCGCCAACGTGCTGCCAACGGAATGAGCATGAGCCCCTGGAGGGTCTAGAGGCAGAAAGCATGACATTTCTTTTTGGACATGTTTTTTATCTTAATGATCTGTGTGAATTTTGCATTGCACTCCATACAATTTATCTGTATGTCTTAATGCATGCATATTATTTTAAATAACAAAATCAAGCACAATTGGAGTGCCAGGAGAACATACCAGACTTATCTTGGGACTTGATTCCCCGAACAGCACCCTGACCGCAGCTAAATGGGCACGTGGCCCAGGCAGGAGCACACTGTGTCGCAGTGTGCTGGCCACACGCGTGCTTCGTGTTGCGAGGTAGGCCAGGAGACGGGAGTGGAGTGCAAGTTCACCTTTGCTATGGTTTATAAAACCCCAGGGATCCTCCCGAGCCACCATCTATGTGCTTGACTTCTTCCTCCCCTACAGCATGTGGTGGCGACTCAGCCATCATCACAGTCCTCACGTTACAGGAACTGTGGGGCCCCACAGCTCCAGCACAGGCCACCAGCCTGCTTTGTCACTCCACTGGGTCATGATTTCTTTCCTACCATCATCTGTAAGAGAAGAGAGATGTCCTAACAATAAGAGCAAAACCCAGCATTGGCTGCTTGCTGGCCTTGAGCTGTCGCATTTGAGCCTCATGTCGTTCTATTCTACTGTGTTCAGTACCACTGTTATCCTTATTTTTCTGGCATGGAAACCGTGCCTCGGAGATTAGTGAAGTAACCTGCACAGGACCACACAGCGGATGTCGGTCTAACAGTGCACTGAGCTCTGAACCATCTACCAAAACACCTCTTCACAGGAACCTTGAACCCACAGCCCCTGGCTGGGGGTCTCACTCCCTTCTGTGGAAGAAACGAAATCGCCTCTTGGGGCTCCCAGGAATATCTTTTCTGATCTGAAAAGAACCAAGGCGGTAGTCACACCGTCTCAGACTCAGGGTGACACACTGGTCTGATCCCAAATGTTGACTGAAGCACAATGTAATTACCAGTGAAGCCCAGGCCAGAGCAGGCCCAGCAGAGCTGACATTAGAAGATGCTGACACTCAGCAGCCAACCTTGTTAAAGGCCCAGCAAGGCTCCCAGTTGAAGCATTGGGTAAACATTGGAGGGATGGAGAAAAATGTAAAGGGGTTCCGAAACCTAACAGTGGTTAGCTCTACATCAAAGCCGTGAACTAAAAAGTTTCACTCTCTTTAAAAGCACTGTATCGATAGTGGAGGCCAGTGCGCTCCACTACTAATAGTATTAGTACCTTCGTGCCTGTTGAGTGTTTCTGACAGCTCTGAATTGGCAGAGACAGGCCCAGGATGGTATTTCAAGACCCATGTTCCTGGTCAGGGAAGATCAGGCAGCAAAGCTGGTTTTAGTTGGGGTCAGACCGTCGCTCTCTCAGCAGAACACCTCCTGCACAATAAAGCTCGTCTTCCTCACAGTAAACATGTCTTCCTCACAGTAAACATGTCTTCCTCACAATAAAACCGTCTTCCTCCATGGCAGGATTCCCTTCAAGGGGATATGAGATCACCTGAGATCATCCCTGTGACGCTCCACACATGATGGAAGCAGAAGGAGAAAATCCACTAGCAGCCCTTTGCTCAGTGACTGAGGAAGATGTCCCCGCGACACCCCTTCCTGGTGACTCACGGTGGGCCTGGGCCAGGCGCTGGTCCGCCGGTCGTGATGGTTCTGTGGACACGTGGCTCTCATGAGCCTCAGTGCTGCAGCTCCGCTTTCCCTTGGCCATGCCTTTCCCGCTTCCTCAACCCCACCCTCTCAGTCCTCCAGGGTTCAGTCCTCAAAGCTCCCGTTTCCTCTCACGGTTCCACTCTCATCTCTGCAGCAGTGGCTCTCAGACCTACTTCCCCAGTGTGCGCCTCCTGGCTCCAGGTCTGCGTGTCTCTGCCTCCTGCCAATTTCCATCCGCTGGGCAGCATCTGAAACAAACTCTTCATCTTCCCTTCCGCCTGCTCATGGCACATGATGTCTTCCAGGCATAGGCATCCCAAAACTTATGACATGACATCCTCCTTCCCCTTATCACTTATGTTTGGCTGAGGCTGCTCAATTCTTTCTTTGACGGAGCTCTGGTGTCTGCACTTTTCCTTTCACTCCCACTGTCACTAGGACATCAGATGTTAGCCCTCCTTCTAAGTGATTGTTCTGGTCTCCTCCCTTATCTCCCTGTCTTTCCCTCTGGTCAGTTCTGCACGCTGCCTCCAGACCAACTCTCCAGCCACAGCCACAGATCAGTCATCCTCCTCGAGCCCGGCATTCAAGGCCTCTATGTGGAGACACAGTCCAGCTCACCCCTCCCAGCCTGGTCTCCCCTCTGTCAGCACCTGCTCCAGGTTCTGGACTGTCCACTGCAGCTCCCTGAACTCTCTGACCTCGACCTTGCTCAGCCCATTCCCTCCATCCTCTCTTCACCTCTCTGTACTAGTACATTCAGCATCCAGCTCGGGTCCATCCTCCTCTGCTGCCCTTTGTGAGCCTGTTTCTTCAGAGTGCATTTCCTTCTGCTGAGCTGCTAGAGCACTTTTCTGCAGGAGATTTGGTATAATTTTTGAGCCTTTGGTGCCTGGAATCAAATGGCCAGATTTTAAATCCCAGCTCTTCCACTTGGCATCTATGTGACCTTTAATCCTTAGTTTCCTCGTCGGTAAAATGAGGATAACTGTATGTCATAGAGTTTTAAAGTTTGTATGAAATAATTTATATGAACCATATGGAAGGGACTGTATGCAAATGCACTATTTGTACTATTACTGCCATTCACTCAGCAACAAGTCAGGAAACAATATTCATGGAAATTCATGCCTCTATAAAGGGCTCTCCAGTAACAATTCTTGTTACCTCTTCTATTTTTTTTTTTTTGAGAAAAGCCAGCGTAAAGCACTTTTATTGCAATAATAAAACTTGAAACTCATATGTAGTGCAGGAGAGGTGGGTGGGGGGTAGGCAGCCATAATTTCTCTCACCAAATCACTACACAGGACAGCAAAGGAGTGAGAGGAGGGAAGGAAAAGCCAGAAAACGTTGAGCTCAGCAGGGGGAGGTGAGCATCAAAAAACAGGAGATGCTGAAGCTGTGATGACCAGCATCGTTTTCTTAAGACAACACTCAAGGATTTGTCATGATGGCTGGGCTTTCATTGGGTTTTAAGTGTCTACAAACAGCACCTTCAATTTAAACTTTCGATTGAAGTTCTTAAAATTTAGGGAGTGGTGCCTGGAGAGCTATGACATTATAAAAGTCCTGAATATCTATTAGAAAAAAACCACAGGATGGGGGGGAAAAAAGCCAGGCCACGAAGAAGGCTTCAGAGGTCCCTGCTGGCCTGGGGACAGATACCTGTAGTGTCCAACATCGCAGTGAAAATGATTTGCTTTTAAAAGGCAGAGGGTTTAAGGGGAGAGTGGGCTGGGGCAGTGGAAGTGAGGGCTCTCCCCTCCCCACTTCAGTTTTGGGTAGGGCTCTTAATTCAACCCAAAGATATCTCTCAACTTGGAGATAGTTCGGCCCTCAACAGCGCCTCAAGTCTGCTATGGCTTTGCAGCGCAGGAACAAGAATGTTTAATATATAATAGATAAAAATTTCATCCAAAAAAATAAAATAAAGATTCTTGCATCCCCCACACACCAATTCCTAGTCTAAAGTTAACCCATTACTTGTGCTGTTAATACTTGACTAATATGTAATTGAAAACCTAGATCCAAAAGACTGAAACTGAATCTTCACCCCAAAACAAAAATAAAAAGAGTAACTTGAGGTTTATGGCATGTAGTTTAGGTCAACACACATACGAGGAGAAAGGGGAAGAGCAAAGCTGGGTGACAGAACACATTCAGTCGGGGCAGATGTTTATACAAAGTGTAGTGGAACATCAGGAAAAGCTCAGCACGGATTCGCGTGTGCACGTCCGGGGCACCAGATCCCTCCATGGCACATCCAAGCACAGGAAGCTCAGGGAGTAAGCCATTCCTGTCATTCCAGTGTTAGAAGTTCCACATCAAAGACGAGAGTGGCATTTGGTGGGATGATGCCTGGGTGCCCAGTGGCACCATAGGCATAGTCTGGGGAGATAGTCAGTTTGGCTCTCTGACCCACACTCATCTGGGCAACCCCTTCTTCCCAGCCTCGGATCACCTCCTGCTTGCCTAGCATAAACTTAAAGGGCTTGTTTCTGTCCCGGGAGGAATCAAATTTCTTTCTATCTTCAAGCATCCCCGTGTAGTGCACCACACAGGTCTGGCCGCGCTTCGGGAAGGTGCGTCTCCGGGGGAGATGGTCTCCACCTGCACTCCCATGGGGGCGGCGGCGGCGGCGGCGATGGACAGCGTGGACCGAGAGAGACCTCTTCTATTGTTATTTCACTTTTCTTTACATTTTCTCTCTTGTCCTGAAATGGGTTGCTATTGTAACTGCAGCAGCAGCCTCAGATACCATCCCATGGGAGTGTTTGACAAGCGTTTCCCCCTCACAACAACAGAGAGAGAGAGAGAGAGAGAGAGAGAGAGAGAGAGAGAGAGAGAGAGAAAGAAAGAGAATGAGAGGAGGAGGGAGGGAGGGAGAGGAAGAGAGACTGTTTATAATTATCTTCATTTTCCACATGAGGACAATGAGCATCAGGAAAGTCAGGGAACCTGGTCAACATCCCACTTCTGGTGAGAGCCACACCAAGGGTTCACCCCAGACGTTTTAGACCCTGAGCCTCACTCTTTTTTTTTTTAAATTTCTTTTTGTTTGTGTGTTTTCTTGAGAACCTCACTCTTAACCTCTTTAAACTGAACCCTGAAGGGCATCTGACCCAGCCCAATGCCTTGTACATAAAGCGGATTCAGTTACTTAATTGGATGTTTTAAATTGCAGTTTATGTCTTTGTGCCAGGCATTCCCTCTGGAGTAATAATTAGGAGCAGGCAGGGGCAGGGCCCCTGTGCACATGGGTGAGTCTCAGCCTCGGGTGTCAGTCCTGCCTTTTGAAGGGGGCAACCCTCCTGGCCTTCAGGGATAAAAGGATAAGCTCCCAGGGTATGACTGTGGTTTACTTCAGGGAAGGAACTTCCCAGGCCTAGATGTAATGATCATCTCGGCTGCTTACCGGAATAAAGTGTCCTTTCATCTAACAAACCAGTGATTTTCAGGCCTGGCTGCATTTACGTCACCTGGAAAGTTTAAAAAAATAGATTGATGCCTGGGCCCACCCCACAGTACAGTGTAATTGGTGTGGGGTTCAGCCTGGCCGGTAGCAGTTTTATAAGTGTCCCAGGCAATTCCTATGACCTGCCACGCCCAGGAGCTCTTCCAAACAAGGTTTCTGGTTTCTTTCCTGACCGAGTGTCATTAAATGGAAATGCAAGCTGACGGGCATCATTAATCAGTTTGCTAGAGAGCTTTCTCGTGTATCCTGGCTCCTTGCAGGCATCAGTTAGCTTGGTCCCAGAGGCATGGAAAAGGTTTAGTTGTCCACTCTGGGACCTGTCCTGGGAACAGAGCCTGGCCTCAACAGTTAGCTGGGCAGTCAGGGGGTGTCGGTGACCCCAACCTTCTGAGGCGTCTGACTGGTCTTTCTCTTCCGTGCAGTGTGATGAAAAATGCACAAAAGCTTATTTCCACATGGGCAAAGCCCACCTGGCTCTGAAGAACTACAGTGTGGTAAGTTCCTGCAGGAATGCAAGTGGCAGGTTTGATCGCAGCGATGCTCCCGACCGTCTCGAGGAGAACCTTGTTCCTCCAAGTTGATTAAATATCAACCCACCTCTTAGTATTTTCCAGGGAAAATCTTAAGCTCTTAGAGTAGGGAAGGACGTTGAGGGCCCTCTAGGGCAGCCCCTGCTGTAGCAACCCCTCTGCAATGTCTCACCAGTGTTCAGCCCTGGAGGAAGCATCTCTGGAGAGAAAGACAAAGGGAAAAGATGAAAACGAAAGGCACTTGTAACCTTTTCACCCAAAAGTAATCATGCTGGTATATCTTCACAATTCGCTGGTTTTTAGTTGATTCACAGAGTTGTGAAACCATCACTACAATAAATTTTGTAATGTTTGTGTCACTTCCCCCAAAGGCCATACATTCATTAGCAGTCACTCCCTTTCCCTCCACCCACACCTGGGCCCTAGACAATCACTAATCTACTTCTGTCTCTATGCATTTGCCTAATCTAGGCTCTTCATCTAAGTAGAATTACACAGTATGTGGCCTTTTGTGGCTGGCCTCTTTGAGTTAGCATAATGTTTGCAAGGGTCATCCAAGCTGTGGTATCAGCACTTCATTCCTTTTATTGCTGAATATCCCATTGCATGGAGAGACCACTTTGTAATGGGTTGTTTCCACTTTGGGCTATTGTGAACATCCAGGTACAAGTTTTTGTGAGACATTTGATTACGATCCTCTTGATTGTAAACAATACCTAGGAGGGAACTGCTGAGTCACATAACTGTTTAACTCTGGAGGAACTGCCCAGTGTTTCCCAAAGTGGCTGCACCATCTTGATTCCCACCAGCAGTGTATGGTTCCAATTTCTCCACATCCTGGGGAAATAAAAATACTTGTTATTATTTGTCTTTTTTATTATAACCATCCTAATTGATGTGAAATAGTATCTCATTGTAGTTTTGATTTGCAGTTCCCTGATTTCTAATGATGTTGAGCATTTTTTCATGTGCTTACTGGCCACTTGCCTATCTTCTTTGGAGATATGTCTCTTCAGATCCTTTGCCATATTTATATTATGGATAAAAGTCCCTTATCGAATAACTTATTGGCAAATATTTCTATCACTCTTTGTGTTGTCTTTTCACTTTCTTGATGGTGTCCTTTGTGGTACAAAATTTTTAAATTTTTTAAAAATATATTTTTATTGATTTCAGAGAGGCAGGGAGAGGGAGAGATAGAAACATCAATGATGAGAGAGAATCATAGGTTGGCTGCCTCCTGCATGACCCCCATTGGGGATCGAGCCCGCAACCTGGACATGTGCCCTGACCTGGAATTAAACCATGACCTCCTGGTTCATAGGTCAATGCTCAACTACTGAGCCACACCAGTTGGGCCAAATTTTTAAATTTTGATGAAGTATACCTATATTTTTCTTGGGTTGCTTATGCTTTTGGTGTCATTTGCCTAATCTAAGATTTACTCCTATATTTTCTTCTAAACATTTTATGGCTTTAGCTCTTAAATTTAGATCTCTGATCCAGTTTGAGTTGATTTTTGTATATGGTATGAAGAAGGGATCCAGCTTCACACTTTTATATGTGGATATCCAGTTATCCCAGCACCATCTTTCTGAAAAGACTATTCTATCTACCACTGAATGATTTTGCCACCCTTGTCAAGAATCGATTGATCATAAATGCATGGGTTTATTTCTGGACCCTCAATTTTGTTCCATAGATCTATGTGTCTTTTCTTGCGCCTATACCACATTTGTCTTAATTCCTTTAGCTTTGTAGTAAATTTTGAAATTGGGAAACAGTCTTCTAACTTTGCTCTGCCTCTTCAAGATTATTTTAGCTATTTTGGGTCTCTTGATTACCAACAAATTTCAGGATCAGCTTGTTAATTTCCACAAAGAAGCCAGGTGGAATTTTGATGGAGACTGCAGTGAATCTGTAGATCAATTTGGGGAGTATTGCCATCTTAATAGTAAGTTTTTCAATCCATGAACATAGAATGTCTTTCCATCATCAGATATTAGATATTTGTCTTTTAAAAAAATATTTCCGTTGTTGCATTTTAATTATTACAATAGTCTTATTGTAATAAGGTTAATAGTAGAGAAGAAAAAAAGAAAATGTTAATTTCCCCTTCTCTACCAAATTCTATTCACTCACTTATTCATTTAATTATTTAACTCAGCAAATATGTATTGCATGCTTTCTATGTTCCAGGTACTGCCCCAGGCAACAAGAATACAGCAATGAAGAAAACAAAAATCTTTGACTTAATTAACTCATATTTTCAGGGCAAGTGGCCAGGAGACAGAAACCAAATAAGTAGATGTGTGGTATGTTGGGTAGTGATAGTGTTATTGAAAAAACTTAACCAGGAAGCAGCAAAGGTGTAGAGTGGTCAGGAAGGACCTTTCTAAAGGAAAGGAGATAGTGAAGTAAAGAAGTGGATGTATAATGGGGGAGTGGGCCAGGTGAAGAGAGAGCAAGAATGGAGCAAGGCAGGGGGAGAGTGATAAGAGATGAGGTCAGGCAGGTGATGGGGTAGATGGGGGCCTGATCCCCTCGGGCCTTGCAGGCTTTGGGAGGATCTTGGGTTTTATTTTGAGTGAGCTGGGAACCATCAGAAGGTTTTGAGTAAAGGAGTGAAATGGTCTGATTTATGTTTTAATGGCTCACTCTGCTGTATTTGAGCCGTTAAGTTGAGACTATATTTTGACAAGGTAATAAACAACAGAACCAGTAATAAGGCTTTTGCAACAAATTATCCAAGTGAGGTGATGATGGCTTGTACCGGCTTGATGATGATGGAGGTGATGAGAAGTGATGGGATTCTGGACATATACCGACAGGGAAGCCAGCAGAAGTTGCTGATAGATTAGATCTAGGGTTAGAAAGAAGTTGGATACAGGATCACTGTCCTAGTCCTTTGGGGCTGCTATCCCATAGACCAGGTAGCTTAAACCACAGACACTTATTTCCCACAGTCTGGACTCTGGGAAGTCCAAGGTCAAGACACCGCAGATTTGGTGCCTGCTTCCTAGTTCATAGGCAGCCAGAGTGAGCGAGCTCTCTGGGGCCTCTTAGTAAGGACACTAATCTCGTTCTTGAGAGCCCCCTCTTCATGACCTAGTCACCTCCCACAGGCCCCGCCTCCTAAGCCATCCCCTTGAGGGTTTAGGTTTGAACATAGGAATTTTTAGGGACACAAACATTTAGCCCATAGCAGTTACCGTGTTTGATGTGTATCCTCTATCCTGCGACACTGTTCTTTACTAACGCGGTTTTTCTTCAGTTTATTTCTTAATCCCAATCTTCTAAACACGCCTTGAGCCTTCAAGAAAGCTCAGAACTGTTTTGTTTTGTTTTTCCTGTGCTTTTTCTCTTGGTACCCTCTGGACAGTTCTCGATATTCCTGAGGACAGCACTGCCCTAAACCCAGCATCATGCCTCGTGAACTAGAATCTTTCTTTTTCCAGAAACTTTCTGTCCAACACTTTCCTCAGTGAGAGCCCCTCACTCAAGCTTTCAAGCTGACTCTATATGCCCGGCTCTTTGCAGCCCTGTACCTTTAAGCAGGCATCTCTCCTTTCCTGTTCCCAATCTCTGTCAACAATGTCTCCAACTTTGTTTATTTCCTGACTCCCTTGGGCATATCCGACAGGTAGCCTCCTCTTCTCGCCCAGTGCAAATATCATATCTAAATTTCGTATTTGACCTCAGCCAGACATGATCCACAAGGATTTAGGAATGGAAATTTTCCATCACAGGCCATATGACCGCACTACTTTTTAAAAATAAATTTTGAAATAATACCCATTGCTTCGTAGACCCAGAGAAGCCTAAAAAAACAATGTCAGGTGCATGGTGTGCTCACATGCCTGTCTCCTGTGCTGGGAGCAGGAGGGACCAGAGGAAATAATGAAGCCAAGTCCTGTGATACCCGGTGTCTTTCTTATAATCACCTTCACCCGCTACCCACTTGTCAAGGTCTTGTGTTTGTTTGTTTTTTTCCAGTCTAGAGAGTGTTTTCAGAAGATCTTAGAAATAAACCCCCAGCTGCAGACACAGGTGAAAGGTGAGAATGTTCCTGCTGACGGCCTGACCTCTGCTCTGGCCCTCGGCTGCCTTCATGCCTTCTCTCCGAGGCTGCAAAGCCCTGCCTTGCCTGCATCCCATCCTCTGTGTTAACAGGCTGCCTGCGCCTCTCTCCTCTGCTCTCCAACTCAGATCTTTGCCTTCCTCCTTTGTACACACCACCCTTTAGAGCCTTTTGGATAGGGAATTCTGTTGTTGCATCCCCAATATTTTAAAGTTCTGGGTACAGACTATACACTTTTCCTAAAATTCTCCTTGCTGAAGATGAGTTAGAGTTATTTTAATGCATGTGCCTCTCAACGCCCCATCCTCACAGAGGTCGCTCCTTGTGTGGGAGCATCGGTGCCAGGGTTGTTTTGTTTCCCTTCTTGTTTGCTAGATTACGTGGATCAAGTGGATCTTCGGGAGAAGGCAGACCTCCAGGAGAAGGAAGCCCAGCAACTGCTGGACTCAGGAAAGAGCACAGCCGTGACGACCAGGCATCTCCTGGGGACTCTCTCCAAGCCCGACCAGAACCCCTTGTTCTACACAGGAGGCATTGAGATCCTGACTGAGCTGATGGAGGACTGTAAGCCAGAGACGTGTGGCCTCATGAATGTTGTCAGTGTGAAGGGGCGGAGTTTAGAGGTCAGAGACTCCCTTCCTTCCACGAATATTGATCGAAGACCTACAATAACGTAGGTGGGAAAGGGGGTGCACAAGAAATATACCCTCACCCCAGCCTCTCCTCAGGGCATGCATACACTCAACATCCATACAATAAACACCACACACATACAGTACAACACAAAACACACACACAGCATGCCTTCATTCTGTGCACACTTACTGACATCAACACACAACACAGCATGTATACACAACACATCACACCATATACTTATATCCACATAACATATACTGCATCTATTCACCCCTCGCACATGCTCCACACTTCCTACACATATCCACACACCCTTTGCATATCCCACACAATACCCCATATATACCCCAACCACCCTGTCTGACCCCCACACATCTCCCCAACCATAGAGAAATGGATAAATGGTAAGGTTCACCCCAGTTGCACTTAATGGTTGCTTAGGAGCTGTAAACAGTTTCAAAGCCACCATCAGCTCCCCTACTGATGAGCACCACACTGTTCTCTTTCATCAGTCCCTGTACGCAGCAGTCCCAGTCCCTGCCTATACGCAGCCGTCCCAGGCCCTGTACGCAGCACTCCCAGGCCCTGTACGCAGCACTCCCAGGCCCTGTATCATCAGTCCCTGTACGCAGCAGTCCCAGTCCCTGCCTATACGCAGCCGTCCCAGGCCCTGTACGCAGCACTCCCAGGCCCTGTAAGCAGTGGTCCCAGGCCCTGTACACAGTGGTCCCAGTCCCTGTACGCAGTGGTCCCAAAGCTCCTCTTCTCAGCCGGGGTGGTGACAGCTGGACAGCAGGCAGTTCAGGAGTCTGACATGGGCTCCTCTGACATTGTTTTAGGCACAGAGCGAACTTTATTCAGAACACACAATGGATTCAGTATCATCAGTGAGAATGAAGTCATAAGAAGGTAGGCATGTTTGTAAAGACAGCCAGTGTCAACGCAAGGAAAGACCAGCATTTCTCATGGAAGCAGACACTAATGACACGGGCAGAGACCTCACTGGATGAGCCCCGCGCAGTCACTATCGGTGGCCCCTGGCCAGTGCAGAGGTGCTGTGTGCACCCTGGAGCCGGAGCCTTGGGTAGTGTTAGTTATGCCACAGTGACTGCAGAGAAGGCCCCAGAACCTCCCAGGGCTTCTCCAAGCACTTCAAAGTCCGAGACACGACAGTGCTGCTGGCTTCCCATCAGCTGCAAGATTGCTGTTCGTTTCCTTCGGGAATTTTGCTGATCATATCAGGAAATGAGGTCAGCTGAGTCCTGGCTGCTCCCATCTATAATTTCATCTGAAGAAAGACCCATATGATAGGAGGCTGTTTGCTAAATTTATTTTTATTTTATTTTGCATTTCAGTTATTCTAGTGTAATTCCTGAGGTTTAGGATGCTACTGTGGGTTGGAGTCGCCAGCACATGTTTGCCTGCATGAGGAGGCCCATGTACCCTAAGTGGTGTGCTGGCCACCGTGCACAGGTCGTGTGTGACCATGGCCCTTGGCCCCTGGCTCAGACCCTCGCTGCCTCCCCTCCCCGCCCCCAGAGTGGCCTCCTCAGCCTGCATCCTTGTCTGGAGCTCTCAGTCCAGTGCCTCGCAGTCCTTTGGTCCTGGTGACCTGCAGCTCTGGATTATAGAACCACTTCTCACCCCATATTGTAGGTCTGTTGGTACAACGAAACCAGCTGAAAGGAAGATGAAGACTGAGTTCCAGTTTTTTTATTGTTCCCCCTTGTCCATTCCAGGTGCTTTTCCATGGCAGGAAAAGATGCAGTGGCAGAGACCCTGTGTGTGTCTGTTCTCAGGCTCTGGCAAGCCGTGTGCAGGGGGAACGGTAAGCCTGGCCTATCACACCTCATCACCCTTTTTAAAAAAAATATTTTATTGATTTTTTATAGAGAGGAAGGGAAAGGGATAGAGAGTTAGAAACATTGATGAGAGAGAAACATCTATCAGCTGCCTCCTGCACACCCCCTACTGGGGATGTGCCCGCAACCAAGGTACATGCCCTTGACGGGAATCGAATCTGGGACTCTTCAGTCTGCAGGCCGACGTTCTATCCACTGAGCCAAACCGGTCAGGGCACTTCATCACCCTTAATGCCCATTAATGCAGGAGCTGCGTGGGCAGACAAGTTCGTTCCCCCAGAGGCCGGGCCCTGGAGACTCGATGTCTGGACCTTCCCTCAGAAAAAAGCATATGGGTCAGAATCAAGGCCTGCACCCACTTATGTCCCTGGCACCCTTGCAGCACCATCCGCATGGCCGAGGCCACTGTCAGCGTGATGAGTGGTCTCAACTGGGGTTTTTGCTGACCACAGGACCCAGTTTAGCATCACGAGCTTTACAGTCTGCCAGGGCTGACCAGCAGCCCCTGAATGACGGGTGAACATATTACTCAGACACAGGTTGACTATGTAAGAGAGGGCTCAGGGGCCCCAGGCTTTAGTAGCCAGAGGAGCCTCTATTGTCTGCCTCATTAGGCCTTCATTGGAATTTTTATCTTTAGATACAATCAGTGAGGTGAGTAATCTTGGGAGGACACGTGTTTACACTGTCCTCTAGGCAAGGGCATCCAGGGGTTAAGCATAAGGATTCCAGTAAACACCCAGGGGTCTGCACATGCAGACTTGTTTGGAAAGGTCAAGGACTAATTAGGGGTGCCTTGCCTTCGATATTCCCCTGTCTCCCCAAAGTAGGAATTCCCCTTCCACACACTCCCTTTTCTCAGAATGTCCTCCTTACAACTTTCCAACCAAGTCCTGTGTGCTCCCCAACAGCGGTCATCTGCCACATCTGCCACATCTGCCACATCTGTGACACTGATCCGTGTGCAATAGCAGGACAGTGACGTGTGTGAGGAGTTCGCTTGCCTTCCGGACTCAGCGTTTTACATAGCAGCATCTTCTGGGGTTTAATACGTCTATAGAATCTGATCACTTTTGTGACCTTGATGCAAATAAAAAATTGAATCATTTCCATTATTTTATAAAAGATTGTATTTTTATAGGAAAAGATCTGACCTGGGACATAAACTCTGAAAATTAGAATAGTGGTAGCTGTGTCCCTTTTTCACAGGCTTCTGTGAGGAGCCAGCAATAGAGCTTGTGAATGTAGTTTGTAAACTGCTGAATATGAGATCATGTAATTTTTTTTCTTGATTTATTAGAGTGGAGGAATCATAGGTTCTAGAAAACTAGAGAAGCAGGGGCCTCTTTTACTGAAGGGCATGATACTCAAACTAGTATCATGACCGAGGGACTGCTTACAGGCCAGGACATGGGCCTGTGTGTGCACATTGCCGAGTGGGAGGGAAAAGCCAGGTGCAGTGTTGGGGGGTCACACTGGGAACAGGATTCATGCAGGGGTGCGGAGCAGCTCCTTTCGGGGAGGGCTTACCGGAGGAGCACAGGAGACGGGGACTTTCGTTTTCAGCTCTTCTCCTTCTGATAGTTTTTTCAGTTGTTCACAGTGAGCTCCTTTTCTGGAATAAGAAAAAATACATGAGCTGAACAAACGGGTCTGTTTCAGCGCTTAGCCTCATCCTCCACCTGCACCCCTGATGCCCTCACATTCACACGCCCAGTTAGAAGTGACCCAGCGAGAGGGGAAGACCCAGGGCCACTGCCTGGAGTGGCTTCCCGTGCGGGGAGGGGGCACGCTTTACTCTTGAGCGTTCTCATGGGACAGTCTAGTTTTCCCGCAAGGACTCTGGCCATTATATGCAGCTAAAAACAGTTCAGCTACTTTCTTCCCCTTTCCTCACATTTCCACATGACATACCAAGGAGCCTTTGACAAGAATGATACTAATGTATGTGTGCCAGTCCCTGCTGGAAGCGCCATCACGTAGTAACTCACTTAACCCTCTGTTAGCCGTCACCTTCCTCAGTTCACTGAGGAGGGAGCAGTTGCACAGGAGTTACTAGATCGGCTGAGGTCATCCACCTGGTCATTGAGACCAGCAGTCTGCTTCTAGAGTCCGTGCCCTTACACTTCACTATCCCAGCTCTCAGATGAGTGGAGAAGGATTGGAGGTGGGGACAGAACTGTAATCGCTGCCCGCGGTGCACAAGGCGAATGCCCCTGTGTCTTGCAGAGGAAAATGAGCGCCAGCTCGTGGCGCACCCTGGCTCAGGCAGGCTGCTGCCCTCCCTCTTGGCCTCCGGGGTCCTGCCCATCCGGCAGCAGAGCCTGGCCCTGCTGCTGCAGCTCGCCCAGACGAAGACCGGCCGGAGCCTGGTCATCAGCCACCTGGACCTGACCCGGTAAGGAAGGTCCGCCCGCGTCTCAGAGCATCACCTGCCCAGTGAAGGCAGCCCGTCTCCCTCTCACATCTCTGACAGGACAGGTGCCATCAGACTTTTCCTCAATCTGCAGTCTTTCCTCAGTCCCTTCATCACATGTTTTATTTTGTTTTGGTCTCCTTGCGTAAGTGTAGCTATAGTATCGTAAGCTTCCCTCCCCTAAGCTATCTTTGAATTGCTTGGGTTTTAATTTGAATTTTTCCAGTGTCTTGGAGAGTGGCATTTATGATCATCCCGGGAGTCTGCCTGCTCTCTTTAAATAGCCAGAAAGCCTTAGCTTATTACCTCAATGCCTGCTGTTCTCATTAACGCCCACCCCGACTAGACCAGAAAGCGAGGAATGTGCTCTCTGCAGTGAAACCAGACAGTTTGCAGCAGGCCGGGCTGCGTGCAGGCCCTGCGACCTCGCAGGGAGGGCTCACGCACATTCCTGCCAGGTGCTTTTTCCTATACGGTGCATTGACGGAACAAGTGGACAGTGACGGGAACTGGGAGGGCCAGTGCCACTTTGTGGAAAGAGCTAGGTTTTAGGTGCCAGCAGTCATGAGCCCAAACCCTTGCTTGTCTCTGTCTGCTATGTGACCCAGGAAAGTTACTTAGCCTTGATGAGCCTGGTGCCTCCCCTGCTTCACAGACTTTTGGTGAAGCTTAAGAGTGGTGATGCGTGGATGCCAGTTAAACATTTTCTGTTGCATTCGACAGAACACATGACCAAGAGGAGCTGGTCTTCTTTTCTCACGTAACAGCAGAGACCAGAGGTGGCATTGGCTGGTGGAATGGCTTCAAGGTGTCAGAGTCAAGGGCTCTGTCCTTCTCTTGACCCGTCCCTCATGGTCACACAGGCTGCTGCCACTCCAAGCATCACCTCCCGCTTTAGGACAGTTTAACACCAGCTGGGTCTGTCCCTTTATCAAGAGAAACAACTGCTTCTGTTTCTCTTTGGTCACATGCCACCTGTGATTGGAAAATGGTTCCGGCTTCCGCAGTCGAGTCAGGCAGGGTAGAAGGCGATGGCGGGGTCTCCGTGGGGTTCGCCAGCAAACAGCTTCAACCACAGTGAGGGACGTGGCCAGTGTCATGCCTGACACGTGGTGCGGACTCAACAATAACTTGATACTCATTTGCTCTCTCCAGGACCCATGCTCAGGTCCTAAACGGATGCGAAAGTGCATTTACTGTGCATTGGATCATTTCCTGATGTGTGGTCCATCTACAGGGACAGCTGCTTGCCAGCAAAGCAGAAAGCGCCAACAGTGAAGGAGATGAGGAGGGTGGGAAGGGGCAGCTGCTCTCTTCCGTCCAGTTAGGATGTGCACTCTCACACAGCGAGAAGCCTCGTTGTTCATGGCTCCCGGGACTAAAATCAAGATGATCTTAGGCTGCCAGCTCAGCTCCTCCTCTGTGCTGCTCAGCTTCATCAGCATCGTCTTCAAGAGCGAGGAGAACAGATTTTAATTGGCGGAGGAAGAATCGGAACTAACTGTAAAATAAGTGATTTGTGACAGAGGAACACTGAATTCACTCCCGAGGGCGTTGGGGAGTTGCAGAAACTTGAAGTTGCCTGGGGTGTTGTCAACTATTCAGCCCAGCCCCGCCCAGCACAGATGTCCTCTCGTGCGTGGTGTGCACGCTGCCCTCCAGGGAAGATTCCAGCTTCGAGTTAGTTTGATTAGGATGGACACTATCACAGCTGGTGGACTGAGGTCTTCTCCCAACTAACAAAAGGATGTGGCGCCCACCTCCCACAGGGTGTTCTGCTGATGGAAAATTACCTCCTTTCACTGAGCACAAACCTCCTGCCCCGTTCTAGTCTGGGACAACGCTGCTGCCGATACTGAAGCCTCCGTCAGTCTATCAAAGGCCTACAGAACACGTCATCTCTCCCACTTTGCAGGGCGTGAAGGAGCCTGGTCTTTTCCATGTTAAGCATCCTGGTTTCCCTCTGGACTTGACTTCCAGACCCTGCCTAGACAAGCCGCTGAGTAAAGGCAGTAGCACAGATGTGGGCGCTGGAGCTCACCTTCCTACAGACCCCACCCGATGGGCTCCTTTCTGCACTTTCTTCCCGTCACTGCCCATTTGGTCCTATCGATGTTATCTTCCTGGCCTCCTCCTACCCCTTGGCTTTTTCCTTCTCAGTTTCCTTTTTGAGCTCCCTTTATGCTGTCACCCTCCAAGTCAGGGACCCCAGGACCCTACCCTTGGCCCTCCTCTCACCGGTGCCCTTAATTATCACCCGTAAGTCGCTCTCTCTCAAAAGTGCTGGAAGAAAACCCCCTCTGCCCCTGGGCGTCTCCATCTCAGTACCATGAGTATCACAAACTTAATCATTCAGAAGTGGTTTTGCAAACCAGACCCTCTGCCTGCATTTTCTGTCTTCAGGGGTGGCATTTCCATCCCCCAGCTGCCTAAGCCAGCATCCTGAGGGCTCCCTGGATGGCTCCCTACATCTGTAAGACGATGGTGTATTGTCAGTCCTACCTTCTCAGCATCTCCTGCATTCATTTCCTCAGGCTCCCTCCCAATGTCCCTCTCCAGCCACTCTTCCTAGGTCACTGTGAACACCTCTCTCCTCTACTGTACATCTTATTCTGCCTCTGCCTTGGTTCACTCTTTAGTCTCGATAATCCATTTCCCCCCAATGGACTCCCTGCTTCCTATACTACCTGCCCCAATCCAGCCTCCACCCTGCCACCAAAGGGATTTGTCTAACGTGCACATCTGTCCTGTTAGTTTCCTACTGAAAATACTAGCATGACCATGCCTATAAGACTAGTTCTCCAGCTGCTGAGAAGTATGGTACCCAGGAGTCACCTGGGGACTTGGTTTAAGTGCAGCCTCCTTCCACTAGGCCAGTGATGGCGAACCTTTTGAGCTCGGCGTGTCAGCATTTTGAAAAACCCTAACTTAACTCTGGTGCCATGTCACATATAGAAATTTTTTGATATTTGCAACCATAGTAAAACAAAGACTTACATTTTTGATATTTATTTTATATATTTAAATGCCATTTAACAAAGAAAAATCAACCGAAAAAATGAGTTCTCGTGTCACCTCTGACACACGTGTCATAGGTTCGCCATCACTGCACTAGGCTGAGGTGGGCTCAAGAATCCGCCCCCCCCCCCCCACACACACACCCCACTACCAAGTAAGTCCTCTATCCGCCACACTGGGGACACCTCGTCCTGCAGGGCAGAGTGCAGACTTTCCAGCAGGCCACAGAAGGCCACTATGACAGGCTGGCCCTGTCCAGATCTCTAGCCTCGCCATTCCCTGTCCTCTCCTCACACACTAAGCACTCGCTGTGAGGACCTGCTGGCAGCCCCCAAATGTGCCCTGCTGTCTGATGCCACGTCGTCTTGGTGAATGCTGTGTGCTGTGCCTGGAATGCTCTGCTCCCCGTGTGCCTGACACTGGCCTGCAAGCTCCTTGGACAGTGCCCAGCAGGTGTCGATTGAATGAACAACGGAACAAAAAGCCAGCACTACACTTTCAAGTGAGAGCTAACATATCATCTGCTCTTTGAAGCCTTCATCGCCATCCTCCCACACCTCCCACCAGGTGGACTCTGTGCCCACTTGACATGAATTTGTTTCTGGCATATCACCCAAGTGCTTAGTCCTGCCCTCCCTGGACTGAGCACAGCACTGAGCGCACTGTGGGTGCTGAGTATGGGCCTGCTGGTTGCACAAGTGGCCCCTGCTTCGTCCTGGGCTGGTCAGTCTGTCAGGGCAACCTGGGGTTGCATTAGCTTTTTTTGGCAACTCCACCAGTCTCTTTGCTCATAATGGGTTTGCAGTTACCCAATAACCCTTGAATCTTGTTCATATGAACTAGTTATAAACCACGTCTACCAATTCTGTTACTTATGCAGAATTTCCAGCTCTAAGTGGAGGAGTTTGAGTTTCACTGAATTAAATTTTGTCTGATATATTCAGCAGCCTGTCAAAATCTTGTGAAGTCTTTATTCCATCCCCCACCTTATTAGGGAGCCCTCCTACTTTAGTCATTAGCAGATTAGTAGCATGCCATTTAGATGTCATTTATGTGATTGAACTTGGCCAAGCCAGAGTCACATGGCAGAAGCTCCAGCAATTCCTTCCTGTAGTCGTCTGATAATCAGTGAACTTGGGTTAAAACTGCTCAACCCTGGGACTGCACATGGTGGTAGAGCCACTCTGCAGGAGAGTCTGTGTCATGGATGGCCAGGAGCTGGGCTTCCTAGGGGGCATGGCAGGGCCACTCCAGCTACCTCACCTGCATCTGGCTCCTTCCTGGCCTTGCAAGGTGTCCCTGATGGAAATGCTGTCAGTTGGAGGACAGCCCACTCTGAGGTTGTACTGGATTTTTTGCAGATTATTAGAAGCCCTGGTGTCATTTCTTGACTTCTCAGACGAGAGGGCCACCTCAGCCATGGGACTGCTCACAGACTTGGCGCTGGAAGAAAGGTAACATTTATTTACAGAAGTTGACATCTCTCCTTAACTGTTGCTGACTGTCTGATAGTTTAGAATGTGCAGCATACAGGGAGGCTGGCCAGTGGGCATCGCAGGCTCACTGAGTAGGAGGGCTGATGCCTTCCTGGGCCGTGGTCAGCACTGCTGCTCCAGCCCCTCGGGGCAGGGGACCCAGTCCTCAACGGGGTTGGAAGCAGTAACGTACTTAAAACACATTAGACAAGCCTACTGTGTGTTGGAGAAGCTTCTTCCCCTTAATCAGCACCTAATGGGAACTGCCTAACGAATGTGTACTGAATAGATGTGAGTGAGGGAGAGAGTGCACAGTAAAATGGAGCCTCCTCTTGGGTTGCCAGTGGCATTATGGGTAACCATCCCCCCTGCTTTTTTTGGCTTAGCTACTGGGGAATTCAGTAAAGGTCTTACATTTTTCATAATTCTTAAGTGTTGTTGTTTTTTTCAGTGTCTCTTGTTTTTTGTTTAATTTCCTCACCACCTTTAGAACATCGTGCTTAGAAATGATCATGAGAGAGTGCTGCTTTGCTCCTGGACAGGCCCTCGGCACAGGCTGGGGACTCAGTAGCTGCTCTGGTGTGTGGAGATGCATGTGTAGCATGTGGAGACATGAGTGTAGCATGTAGGGACGTGTGTGCCATGTGATGTGTATAACATGTGGAGACATGTAACACATGGATATGTGTTTGTAATGTGGAGATATGCGTAGCATATGGAGATGTGTGTAGCGTGTGGGTGTGTGTAGAGGTTTGTAGCATGTAGAGGTATGAAGCATGTGGAGACGTGTGTGTAGTGTGCAGAGATGTGTGTAGCATGTGGAGACACGTGTGTAGCATGTAGAAATAGTGCACAGCATATGGAGACACGTGTAGCACTGGAGGCACATGTAGCACTGGAGGCACATGTGTAGCTAGGTCTCCTTATGGCTGTGCCGAGGAACCATGCTTGCACTGCACTTCCTGTTTACACAGCACACAGCGCAGACTCGGAGCGAGGGGAGGGCAGGGGGTTGGGAGGTCAGTTCAGCAGAGCCTAGGGATTCCAGCACTTTCTGCATCAGTGCTGCCATCTGAGACCTGATGTTTAACATCAAAGGCAATTCTTCAGACTTGGAGAGATGAAAGTCGCGTCATATACCTGGGGCATTCTCTTCTGTTTCCGAATGAGTCATCCAGGCACATGGCAAACACAGGGGCCCAGAGGTTGTGTCTGTTCACCCCGTCCCCTGAGACTGCATTTCTCCTATAGCTTGTACAGTGTGGAGCTAAATCACGGCTGGTGTTCTCCCAACAGATTCCAAGTCTGGTTCCGGGCCAACCTCGCAGGTGTTCTCCCGGCTCTCAGAGCCGTGCTGGTGAGCAGGTCTTGGTTTCATCATCTCTGACTCTCAGGGGCATGAGCAGTTTAAACACAGTCACACTCCAGAGCGCCTGTTGACTCTCAGGTTCAGGAATCATTTATTCACAGCTGGAATTTACACAGTTCTTATTAAAACAGCGCTAGCTGGGCCAGGTGGAGAGGGCACATGCAGGCTCATCGCGGGGGAGGAAGAGCTGGACATGGCCTCTGCGTCTGGGGTGAAGGCAAGAGAGTGTTCAGGTTAATCAGTCCCCTGTGATCCCAAGTCTGGTCATAAGGACTGTGTGCCACCCTGAATGAAAGTTGTCCAGGTCAGGAGGGCGAGCGTGGCGATCTGAGCTGGGGAGGCAGGGAAGAGCAAGGGGGTGGGGGAGTTCGAGGAGAGCATGCTGGGACTAGTCCCTGTCCCTGGGGAGCCACGTCTCAGGGGACCTGAGCACGTCCACGGCCCAGTCTTTCAGACGTGGAAGTGGAAGCTCTGCTGTCCAGGCTGGTTGGTGGTATCCCTGAGATGAGCCCAAGGCCTCTCTGTTCCAGGCCACGTGCTTTGGGGTTAACCCATGTGCCTCCACCCTGGTGCCAGCATGACCCCATTGATGCCAGTGTGACGCTGCACTCTCTGGTTCCCAGGCGTTTTGGTGCACGAGGGGTGCCTCTGGGGATGACGCTGGCATCATCTGCCTGCTCTCTGCACATTTGCTTTCTCATGATTCTCTTTTAGAAGCGAGACCCCAAGGAAGTCAACACCTCAGCTCTCAGCCAGTGTGTTGCCATCATGGGGAACCTCAGTACTGACGCTGCCACCAGAAGACAGATGTCTGCCTCTGAGGAATTTGGGGATGCTTGCTTGGGCCTCATGGTATTTTAGCTTTTCTCCTTAAGGCTGGTCTTCCATCTGCTTTGGGGGTGTTGGCTTCTTCTTCATTATCTAAATCTTCTAAAAATTCTGTTTGAGAGGGCTGGAGCCAGTGGCTTCTTCCTTCTATAACCACAGATTTTATGGGCGGCCGACCTCAGCAAGCCTCCACATCATGTCTCATTCACCCTGGAGAGCCTTGAAGGGTTTGCTGGCGGAGTTGGCTTGACCACCCATTTGAGCAGCTCAGTCTTCAGTGTAAACACAGGACCAGGTTGAACCAGGGTCACATGGCAGAGGCACAAGAGACTCCTTGGGAGTGTTCCACACTACACTAACTCATAGACTGGTCTCTAATCTTCCAGCATCACGTAGGTTCATGACATTGGCAGTGTAAGCAGTGTCAGTAATGCTGAGACCATTGCCAAGGGAAGATGACTTCAAAAACTACAAGGCAGCCCTGGCTGGTATGGCTCAGTTGGTTGGAGCATTGTCCCATACACCAAAAGGTGGCAGGTTTGATCCCCAGTAAGGGTGTATACGGGAGGCATCAGATAGATGTGTCTCTCTCCCTGTCCCTCTCCTTCTTCCTCTCCCTCTCCCTTCCTCTCTCTCTAAAATCAACTAAATATAGAAATATATATTTATATATATAAAAGCCTAAGTGACTGTTACGACCAGTTGACCAAACGACCAGCGACTGGTCGCTATGATGCACACTGACCACAAGGGGGCAGATGTTCAACACAGGTCAGTGCGCTCCCACAACCAACCTCCCGCAGCCAGCCACCCTCCTGTGGTCCCTCCCCAACCCACACCCCGCCCGCCTCCGGCCTACCGGCCCCGATCAGCCTGATTGCCGGCCAGGCCAAGGGACCCCAGCCATGCATGAATTCATGCACCAAGTCTCTAGTATACTAGTATGTGTGTGTGTGTGTGTGTGTGTGTGTGTGTGTATAAAAGCTGCATGACAGAAAGGTCATGGGTTACCTTGTTTTGTTTTCAAAGGCCAGGTGTGAGGAGGATGTAGATCTGTCCAGAGACGTCATATATGCACTCCTGGGACTCATGATGAACTTGTGTCTTCAGTCCCCCTTTGTCTCTGAGGTACAGTATTCTTTTCTCCCTAACTTGAGCCCTGGAACAACCTAAACACATTCTGTTGCATAGACTGTTCTCATTTTCACCAAGAGCTAGAAACCCCTAGAGCCAGCACGGGCAGTGGGACTGGGAAATGCTGGGGGACGCTCTCTCTGCTTCACTGAGGGATACATGAGTCACTTGATCAGGTGCTCATTCAGAAAAAATTGAGTGTGCAGGATGAGCACACTGCTAGGTCCTGCATTTACAAAGTCAGATAAAATGTGGTTCCTACCCTTAAGGTATGGTGCCCTGTAGTGAGAGGAGAGCAGTAGGTGTTGTGAGGGAATGTGGTGGTGAACAGGAGGGTGGTCAGCTCTCATCAGGGCTCAGAGGGAGCTCCATCAACGACTCTGATGACCAGAGCATTCACAGCCCTGTCTCTGTCCCCATGGCTGCAGGTCTGGGCCGCGGAGGTGAGCAGGAGGTGCATGTTGCTACTGAACAGCCAGGATGGAGGAATCCTGACAGTAAGATCAGGAGAGCCAGAACAGCATCCTTTGTTCTCCTTCGTGTTGTTGTAATGTCAGTGCATCTTACCCTTTCAAAGGCATCACACCTTTGATATTCTGCCAGCTCTGAGGGATGGGGAGGGCACGCTCCTCAGAATCGTGCCCATAATCACACAATCCTCAGACTTGCCTTCAGCTTCATGGGATTTGGTGACCACTGCCCAGCACCCATCTGTGGAGCCGCCTAGAGTCCAGGAGCCCTTTGGTGTCTGGTTTGGAACTTATCTGATTTGTCCTATTTCAAGATATCCTTGTGCAAATGGAATGGGTCATGCAATTTTATGTAGAATCTCTTTTCCATGATCAACAGAACCAAACCCAGGTTTTCAAGCCAGTGATCCCGGAGGCTGTTTAAGCATGCTGGCCTTAGCCCCCTTGGAGGTAGATGCTGGAATGGCTTTTAAACTCCGTTTCCATTTGGATAAGAAAACCGAGAAGGCGGACGGGGAGCACAGTGTGTCAGGGGATACTGATGTGGTTCAAGAGGCTATTTGCCAGAATCCCAGGATGTGGTATAAATGCACATTAAGAATTACCCCAACTTTCCCGCCTAGTAGGGCCCCAAAGCCTAGAAAAATCACTGGAGTCACATTCAGGGCACCCTGGGAAGCCAGCCCTTCAAAGGTCACAGACTGGAGGCCGGTTTCAGGATGGGGGTGAAGGTTCTGAGTAGACCCAGAGCATCCTATTTGGAGCTGGCATGCCCACACTTCCCTGAGGTCAGTTCCGGCATTGTAGCGGGTTTTTAACCTGGGCTCCAGGAACGCGTGGTAAGTCTGCAGTTCCTTGGAACCCACTGCGATTGTATAGAAAATTCTAAGTGTATGTGCATTTTCATGGGTGGGGGGCAGCACAACTTCCATCAGATCCTCAGAAAGGATCCATGACCCCCAGAGTGGTGAGCACCATTGTTGTTGGGTATTGGATTTTCTGGATGGTCTAAATCTGGGATGGGGAACCTTTTTTCTGCCAAGGGCCATTTGGATATTTATAACATCATTCTTGGGCCATACCAAATTATCAACTTAAAAATTAGCCTGCTATATTTGGTCAGACATTTAATTAACTCACCCCTAATGCCTTGGCAGGACCAAGCAACATGATTCTGTGGGCCTTCCATGGCCCACAGGCTGTATAGTCCCCACCTCTAGTCTAAACCTAAAGCTAGGCCAGCACTAGCTTTTTGCTAACCATTCAGGACTCTCTTGGCCAGACTTTCCCAGGACTCTGCATGTGCCACAGTTAGGGGCAGCAGCTTCAGCAAGAGAATCGGTCCTTCCTTAGGGTGCTCTCTACTGTCTCGAGCCTGGAAAGAGACCTGTGCTGCCAGCTGTGGAGACATTCCAGCCCCCGAGGGAAGCAAGACTGATGTCGTGCTAACACAGTCTATGCCTTCTCCCTCTGAGACCTCTTAAAACGAGACTACAGGCATAGGGGGAAGGAGAAACCCACATCAACAAAGTGAACAGGCAAGAGGACACCAGTGGGTCAGGAGAGGCAGAGCTGGAGAAACTTGGGTGTAGAGCACAGACTGAGGGGCACAGCGCTGGGAAGGGACCCTGGAGGAGATGGCACCTTCCAAATGCCAGGTGCAACAGGGCAGCAGTGGGAGCCTAGGGGACTGCACTCGGCAGCCCCCGTCTGTCCCCCGGGCACAGAATCTGAGCACGTTTCTTCAGAGGTACCGGGAGACCGGAGAAGACGTGTGTGCTGTCTAGTATCTGGGGGTGCCACCTGCCACTTTCTCACCAGCTTCCCATAAACGGAGCAGGCCCAAACATACCGTGTTATCTTTTTGATAAGTGTGATCGGCAGCTAAGGGTCCCCAGACATTTCAGGAAAGCCATACACATAAATAGAAAAACCACAATAAACAGAAAAATTGACCAGAAAAACAAACAAACACAGAGATGGTGTAGGAAAAAGCAAAAAAGTAGTAACTATTATCTGTATCCTCAGAAAAATTCAAAGTAGTATTATAGCCAAATTGTAGTAATAGCTTTCTATTTTAAAGAATTAGAATGGGAAGTCTCCCAGAGAATAGAACAAAAAGACAGATTCAGAACAAATAAAGGAAAAGCTAAAAGACCCAGAGGATCAATCCAGGAAGGCTGCCTCGGGCCTGGTACCAGCACCGCGGTATGGCCAGGGCTTACAAAAGGAGAACTGGGTGGCCTGTGTGAAGCAGAAATGAGCGGAGCCACGATGCTCCAGGGACAATGTTCGCAGCCCTTTGAATGGCCTACCTGGCAGCTGCATTAAAAACAACAGTGCTTGCTACTTGGCCATGACATATTTTTAAGATCAAGGTGCAAATTTGGCTTCCAATGTTAATGGTTGTTTCACCTCCCCCTGGTTCACTTGTAAAGGTCCTCAGCATGTCTGAAAGGAACTTTGAGTTACCCTTCACTTTCTGCTTCCCTAGAGAGCTGCTGGCGTTCTCAGCCGCACCCTTCCTTCCTCCGTGGAAATCGTCGCGGAGGCCCTGAGAGCAGGAGTGGTGAAGAAAATGATTAAGTTCCTGAAGGTAAAATGCCGTCATTGCTCACAATCTCTGGAGCTTCCAGGAACGTCTTATTTTATTTGGGGAACAGAAGTGAGGTGCCGCTATTGCACCCCTGCTAGATTTCAACCTTGAATGGGGATTCTCTTCTGTGTGTCCACCCAGACTGTGCTCTGAGCATCAACAAAAGAGTGGAGAATAGATAAGTAAACTGTTCCCCGACTGGGTGGCTCAGTTGATTAGAGCATCATCCAGATATGCCGAGGCTGTGGGTTCCATCTCTGTTGGGGTCACGTACAAGAATCAACCAATGAATGCAGAAACAGGTGGAACGACAAATTCTCTCTCTCCCCCTCCCTCCTTGTGTTCCTCTAAGTAAGTAAGTAAATAAATTAAATAGGTAAACTGTCCATTAAGTACATATAGAAACCCTGTGTCCGAGCCTGTCTTACACATGCATGGCCTCTGTCCCGGAAAACGATGGTCTGAGTAACTCTCACCAAGGTTTCTCAGCCTCTTACTCTGCTCGAGTTTTCCCGCTCCCGGCGCTTTATCCAGTTGTCTGGAGGATGGAGGATGTAACTCCACTGTGAGATACGCAGGGTGCAGTTACAAAAGGATGTAACGAAAGGCTGTTCAGGTTTCCCTGTGATATGAGTGCAGTGAGTCTGAGCGAGTGGGTACAACAGGTAACCAGACTCACCCGGAAGGGCGAGGGGACGCATGTAGCTGCCATCTCTGATCCCTCCCGCGATAGCTATGCCCAGGAGGGTCACTCACCCGTGAGTGTGGTGACCCCGTGGGAGACTTCCTCATAAAACTCGGGGCTTACAGAGCCAGGAAGCATGCTTGCTGTGGGGCTGCCGCGCTGGGTCAGGGACAGTATTGAGAGGGCAGGACAGGGTAGTCTGAGTTTCGGCTGCCACTCGCATGATGACTGTCATTCACTCTGGACAACTCTTGCAAACCTGCCAGAGGCTGCCGATTGCATGCACACCCGTGGTATTATGCATGCATATATGCACCGTGCTTTAGGTTATGATTTGACAGTTGTCACCTCGTAAAATGATGTAGGTCCCTGATGTTCTCTGTGCAGGCCTGGCAACCTTGGCAAGTCAGCCCTTGTTCTCAAATCCTGCAGTGAGCGGGTCCTTCTCAGCCACTCTCACAAAGCCTTGCCAGGCGATTCCTCAGGTGTACATGTCAGGCCTGCACCCCCTGGTGTGGGCTGTGCTGGGGAGGGGGTGAGTGCCACTCCCTCCGCAGGGCCACGCTCCTCTGGAAGTGCGCCCGTTCTCAGTGGGCCTCTCTTTTAGACGTTAGGACGCCACGAGCAAGTCACAGCTGCTCACTGTGGTTTCTGCCAAGAACAGTTGCAGGATTGATGGTATTTTTCTAATTTCATTCGCAATCTAGGCGGGAGGCCAGACCGCCTCGCGTTATGCCGTGAAGACCCTCGCCATCTGCACCAACAGTTGCCATGAAGCACGAGAGGAAGTGATAAGACTGGACAAGAGTAAGTGATGCTTTCGTTAAGCGGAGCCCACACCCCAGAGGTTAGTCATCCTTGAAGCTGCAAAGGGAACCGCAGCTGAGCAGAAAGGAAGGACTTAGTGGAAAGCCGCTACCTCTCCCCGGCCTTCAGCTGTGCTTACACTGTCAGATGTCATCTCACCTCCAGCTCGGAAAGCATTGAATTAGCCTTGGGCTGCGCACAGGTAGCAGGCCCAGGCTGCAGACTCAGGTAACAGGGTTGAAGCTGGGAGCTACCGCCTGTCGCCAAGTTAAAATGAAATTGTTTCTAAAGCATTCTGCTTAGACCGACCGACCTAACATGGGTTCTCCTCTTTCACCAGGGGAGGGGGAGAAACAGGTTCAACTTTTAGTGAGCAAGGACAGTCACCGGAGTCTGAGCCCAGCTTTGCTCTGGTAACTGAGATCGGCTACAGTCATTGGTAGCAGGGTTCCCAGGCCAGGCAGCCTGCTGCTGTTCTCCTTACCCCTCCCCTGGAATGTGCCAGGAGGGGACTCACCAGGGCCCCTCCATGCAGGCAGGAACCTTTCTTCTGGGCCCTATTGCTTGCCCTGCAGCCCAGGATGCAGGCCGGTGGCCTCCCACTCGGGGCTGTCAGGTGGAGAGTAGAGGTTAAGGCTGGAGACTTTAGAGAAGACAGCCCTGCGTGCCTGCCACGCAGCATTCACCCACTCCCATCAGTGTTGTGCCAGACGCTGCCCAAGGCCTCTGCAATATGTCAGAGACACACACCGCAAGGAGCCGATGGCACTCAGTACACTTTTGCTAAATGAGGGAGTGACATGCCCTTTCTCAGAGCTTCTGGGCACCTCAGCGTCCACTGACACCTCCTCGCGCCGTCCATCCCTCTGCCAGCCTCCTGCTTGGGATTTGGAGGGACCGATGCCTGTTCTCCTCCTGCAGACTTCAGTGTTCTCATGACGCTGCTCGGCTCGGAGGATGAGATTCTGGTGGGCAACGCCGCCCTCTGCCTGGGGAACTGCATGGAGGTGCCCCAGGTGGCGTCCTCCCTGCTGAAGACGGACATCGTGCAAGTCCTGTTGAAGCTCGCAGCCCGCGATGTGGGGGAGAGGGCTGTGTCGCTGAACGCAGGGATCGCTCTGGGGAAGCTGTGCACGGCCGAGCCCAGGTGTGCGGGGCCCTTGGTCATGTTTCAGAACGAGCAGGCGCCTGCATGGCTGGGCTCTGCCCCAGGAGCCCTGGTTCCTTCCCTGCAGACAGGGTTGGGCCCTGATAGCTGCCTCTTGGAAGAAGCCTTCCCTGAGGGAACTGGGGGCCCTCAGGCTCCACCCAGAGAGGGAAGACTTTTATCTGACAGGGCCCTATGCAGGTGCCTGCTTCCTTCCATTGTCCTCTCTGATTCCACTCCCTCATTCTCCATCTTCCTCTTTCCACTCCTCCTTCCTCTCCCTGTCACCATCTCTCCTCTCTCCCTCCTTCTTTCCCCTCTACTTTTCCAAAAAGAGTTAGCCCTCCCCTCATTCTTGTCTGCCCAGGGCCTGAGCATATGGGAGAAGGTCCAGTGCTCATAACATTCTCCTGCTGGAGCAAACCAGCATGAGACGTGGACAAGCCAGGGCAAGCCAGCTCTGCTCTAACCGCGTCCACTGCTCCTGTTTACCTCATACTCTGTTCTTTCTGATGCGTTTAAACGTTTAAACTCCTAGTCATTCACGCTCCCAGCAGGTCCCACCGTGGCTGCATGACAGAGCCCTGAGCCCCGGCATAGAGGGGGTGCCTCCCTTGGCAGGGAGGGTGCACCCTCAGGCCTCTGACTCCTCCTCCGTGGAATGAGAGGGTTGGCTTGGATGGCATCCAAGGTCCTTTCAAGTTCTGTCTGGTTGTTCAAACGGGAGGAATAGAGAGCCTTTCTTCCACAGAAAGTATGGCACGTTAGCTAGTGTGAGCTCAAAGTTCCCGAGAGCAGGTGCCATTGGATCAGCTGTCACACCCGCCACTCAGCGAGAGTGTTGGCAGTGTCTGCGGGCCTCCCTGAGGGCTCCAGGGCCCCAGCCTCGGCCCCTTGCCCCCTCCCCGCCAGGGCTAGTGAGGGGCGGCCTGGGCTCAGCAGTCCGCACACAGGTCCTGGAGCTTGTGTTCTCATTACGACAGGTTTGCTGCTCAGCTGAGAGAGCTTCATGGACTAGAAATTCTCAACTCCACCGTGAAGCACATCCAGGATTCTTGAGACACGTGTCTGTGCAAACCCACAACTGCACGCCCTGGGTTGCTCCTGGTTAATAAAATCCTAAAATAGCCACTCGAGAACCAAATACTGACTTTCCGAGTCTGTGCCTGCGGTTTTCATTGGTAACAGGAGAGTGGGCACGAGGCCAGCTGCCCAGCGGCCTGTTCTGCAGAGGCTGGGCTCCAGCAAGCGAAAGGCCAGGCATCGTGTAAGTGACGGTTCTAGATGGGAGCTGTGTTCTGCCAGCCTCCCCCTCCCCGTCTGGGTCGTTCCTGGAAGTGCCGCCTGGTGCCCTCCTCCAGCCCGACTGTGCGCACCCCATCCTGTGTGTCACTAACTCACAGATGCAAACTCATTTCCCTAACCCACCTGCACTCTCACCCCATGCCCAGAAGCCCCTGCTCCCCTGCCTCTGCCCTAGGTCCACTCTCAGACTGCTGGGGCCACCTCTGCACCCCAAGTCCCTAAGTGAAAAGTCCAGTAAGTGACACGACTCTTCCACTTCTCAGTACACGTACCTGAGCGCTGTAGGGAAGGAGGCGGGACCTGTATGGTACAGTGAACACCAAGAGTCCCAGACCAAAGTCCCAAAGACTTATGGTCCTACCCTACTTCCTGGCAGCTGTGTGACTTTGGGCAAGTCACTTAACCACTCTGAGCTTTGGTAGCTGCTTCTGTTAAAACTAGAATAATACAGGTCCAGCCTATCTCCTGTATTGCTGTGAAGATTAAACGACACTTTAGAAGTAAAGGAACTTTGGGAATTACAAAGTGCTACACAGATAGGACATTGTCAGGCTCCATCTTGAGGTCAAGGGAGTTGACTATGATGTCAGCTGGATTACATTTGAGTGGCCTGGGAAGGGGTAAAACACAGGTCCTTTAAGGAATCGGAGCTGGACCATTTCTGGACCCTGCAGGAAAGGAAATCTTCCTCCTAGATTTTGTTCATCATACCCAAGAAACGGTTTTTCACAAATCAGGTGGCTCTTAGCTTCCATGAAAAACTTTGCTCCTGAAGCCAAGATAGGTCACTGGCACTTGGGGGGCTGGAGTGAAATCAATAGCCCCGAGACCCTCCCTGTGGGCCCAGGGAACCACGTGGGGCTGGAGCAAGCTGGCGGGGCTGTGATAGCGCCGTCACACTGGCCCTGCGTGGCAGGCAAGTGACAGGCCACAGGAGAGGCCAGGAGCTGCCCACTCAGTCCCATCACGCAGACACACGCACTTGAAGAGGGAACTGAATGGCACAGGGAGACGGCTTGATGCTAACAGAGCACAGAGAAGGAAATTGAAGGCTGCAAAATGTGCTGTTTGGGGAGAGAATCCTGTGGAGCTTTAAAAATGGAAAGGTGCCCGTGTGCATAACCAGCAGGCTGTCGCCTCTACTGGAAATCCCGGCCCCTCCTCCCCCTCTTTAGCTGCACTCCTCCTCCCCGGCTCTTGAAAATGGCTATTACACATCTAATCTCTTCCCCGGAGAGTGGGGAATGTCGAATTCTGTTACTATCTTTGCAGCAGCAATGTTCTCTGCTGCGGAGGAGGGTCTGGCTGCACCGGGAGCTCCCTCCTCGCAGGTGGAAAGATGGTTTACATCCCGCCGTTCGCCTTCTCCAGTGCGGGGCCGGCCCTCCAAGTCTTGTTACCGCTAACCCATGGGACATACAGGACTCCTGGCGGCATGGAAAAGCCACTTCCGCATTGAAGACGGGCTCACCGCTTCGTGCCAGGAGCCACTGCACCGTCCTTCCCACCCTCGGGTCACGGCTTATTCTGGGAGAGCAGTGCTGGTTCCACAAGCAGAGGCGCTGGCATTGCCCACCTTAAGGAGGATGTGACCGAGATGGAAGCTGATAGCCACCCGGAAGCCCCGCAGAGGCGCGAGGGAACGGTGGTGACCAGCCGCCCGGGCAATGTGGCATGGCAGTTTAGAGGACAGCAGGCAGGACTGAGGGTCGATGTTGGGAGAAAGTAGCAGGAAGGGGCAGGACATGCTACCCTGGGCCAGGACACTGCTGTCAGCAATTTCCCAGGATCTGTGAGGACAAGGCCAGATGACATTCAATCTTCCACGATCTTTTCCAAAATACAGTCCCACTTCCTAAACGCCTGGAAAATGCAGGCTCTCTAGAGGGCCCCGTCATTTACTCTTAGTTCACTCCCCACTCACCCCCTTCCCCAATACCAGGGGCTCTCGGTCCTCAGGGGCTGCAGCCTGCAGGCCTGCAGAGAGAGGCTGAGTCCTGCCCACGCCCTGAGCATGGGCTCTGCACGGGGCACAGTCACATGTGCCTAGTGGTCCTGCCACAGAGAGACCCTGAGAGGTAGGTGTCATCTCAGCTTCACTCGCCCAGATTCACAGGACCAATAGGCAGGGGAGCCAGACTGTGGCCCAGCCTGTGTGTAACTTCTGCACGTAAAACATTCCTCCATTTCCTACACGTGGCATTAGGAAGAGGGATCCGATTTCCTGCGCCTCCGTTTCCTTTCTGACAAAGTGGGAGCATTTGTAAGATACCTATGGAGTTCTGTGGATTGGACATAACATATGACTCCCCTGGCATCGGTCACTGGAAAAATAGAAGGCATTTACTTAAGTGACTATTATTTTTAGGCAAGAAATTACCATGAACTCACTATCTGCCCCCTCCCACCCTCACATTTCTGCTCATCCTTTTAATGCAGGCAAGCGCTTACCTGGCTGTTCCGTCTGCCTTTCCCTCTTTCCTGTACCTGGTGGCAAACATAGGGATCCTTCAAGACCCAGCTGCCTACCACCTGCCTTCCCCTCCTCCCTCTGAGGTACCAGACCAGGCGGGTTGAGGTTTGAGCACACCCAGGGCTCACCAGTGGGTGGCAGTGTGCCTGGCCAGGGACCCTGTGAAGGGGTGGGGGGGGGGCGGGGGGCATTTACATCAGCAAGGCCTCATGGGCAGTGGACTGGGGGCCAAACACTGAAGGGCCGTAGTTGCTAACGTCCATGCCCCAAAGTCCTCTCCCCAAACAGATGTCAGCTGTTAGTCCTCAATTTAAAACCAGGAAAACCTGTTGATTCCCAGGACTGCATCTCCAGTACACATACATCAGGACATCTGTAGCTCTTTCTCAGCAGGCCCCGGGGCGGAGGTCCCCCACCCCTGAGTGTCCTGGAAAGGAGGCATGTTAACAGCAAGACAGCTGACAGGCACCTCATCACCTCCGGCCGCTCCAGGCCTACCGCTGCTGGCTGCTCGTGTCAGGGAGGTGCCGGGCTTCTGTCATCTGAAGCCTGTGGGTGACTTTTTTAAAAACAAGACCTCAAATTTTATCTCAGTTTCAAAACTGCCAAATGAAGAATGGGTTCTCCCTGGAGGCATTCTGCCCCTGGGGCTGGTTTTGCGCTGGGCCATGCTCAGATTCCTCTGGATCAGGGGTCCTCAAACTTTTTAAACAGGGGGCCAGTTCACTGTCCCTCAGACCGTTGGAGGGCTGGACTATAGTTTAAAAAAAAACTATGAACAAATTCCTATGCACACTGCACATATCTTATTTTGAAGTAAAAAAACAAAATGGGAACAAATACAATATTTGTATTTGCATGTGGCCCGCGGGCCACAGTTTGAGGACCCCTGCTCTGGATGCTCAGCCAGCAGTGCAAGCAGCACCTGGGCTCCCATCGCAGTGGGTTGAAGGGAGGTGCTCCGTGTGAGGTGCCGTCTGCCGGACGAACCCATTCAGCTCGGCCTGAGCAGCATGCCCCTTGTCACATGTCTGTCTATGGCTTCACATTTGCCCTTTAATCTTCAGTAGCTCCATCTACTCATTTAGATCCCTCACTTCCCCCTCGAGCCTCGAGTCCATGCAGACACACACATGCACTTGCAGATGAATTTCCACTTAAAAACAGGTGAGTTCATGTGCAACGGGAATTAGGCTAGATCAAAGCACAGATAATGAGAAATATTGGAGTGGGTGTTGAGGACGAAGGCTTCTAGCATGCCCAAGATGAAAATAATTTAGGGACCATCCAATTTCAGTATCTGTTTTATTGGAATCCATCTGATTTTATTTGTTAAATATAATGCAATGCTTAAAAATGTGTAGTCTGCACACCCCACCTCCAATTTATACATAAGGAAATCAAGACTGAAAGGCAGGTGAGCTGTCTCCCAGGGGCAGAAGCCTCTGAACCAAGGGGGCAGAGAACTACCGTCAGTTCTCAAGGCAGCCACTGGGAGGCAGTAAGTGCAGTGGCTCAAAGCCCAGCTCCACCTTGTATGTCACTGAGCCCCTTCATTGCCTGGTCTATACAAGGTGGAGGTGGACAAGTACAATACTGACTTCATGAGTTTGTCCTAAGGATTAAATAGGATGATTTCTGTAAAGCTCTCAGCTTCCTTCTGGGCACTCGTAGCCCAGGAAACGGTGGCTACTGTGGTCCTTAGAGTGGAGTCGGCTGCCTCATCAATGCCCCGGGTGGCCATCCCTGTGTGCTCTTCCCAGAGTTATTAAACATGGGGATTTTTATCAGGATTGGAAGGATCTGACTCTGCCAAAAGATGGGGGATAGAGAAGTGGGCTCCCAAGTTCAATGCCATCCGGGATATAGACCGCCAGCAGTGGAGAGCTGGGCTGTAGAATGTGGCGGTGGGAGGCCTGGTGTGGTGGGGGGCATGCGCAGGAGAGCATGAAGGATTCAGACCCCTGTTCATGGAACTTGGCACTGCGTTATCAATATCAGGGGAAATAAGAAAAAGACAGGCACCGGATTAGGCTAACTTGCATTATAGTAATAGCCTCTGGGCAGATCTCCCTGTCTCGCTCCGAAGTCTAAGCCATCCTGCATACTGAAGCGGAATAATCCTCTTAAACTCCACTTCCATTATGTCGCGCCCCTTCTCGGGCACCTTTTCACAATTGCCATCAGGATAAAGGGCAGACTCCTCTGCTGGTGCGCACGCACGTGGTGTATTGTGTGTGTGAATGTGTGAGTGTGTGGTGTCGACGGGTAAAGGCATAGTGAGAGCATAGCGCTTTTTGAATTTTCTAAAATGTTGCTGATCAAACACTCACA